TCTGTCTTAATGTCTGTATTCCCCCTTCCCAGTTTTGTGTGAGCCGCCCTGAGTCCCCTCAGGGAAAAGGGCGGCCTACAAATACTAATAAATTCTAAAATTCTAAATTCTAATTCGTCCACCAAGCCCCTTCAGAAATAGTCTCATCTGAAAATGAAATCAAGTTATTCCAAGTTTCAATTCAATCAGACCGTGAACTGTCCTAACAGTTCAGTTGAATCAGTGTTATGTGAGCACATCTACTAAGAAGGTAGCTGACAAAATGTCTGCCATATCACTCATGTAATCAACCTGATATAATAACCTTAGTCGCCAACTAAAACACAGCAGGAGTTTCATAAAGTACTGTACTAGAGCTTCTGTTCTTCAAATTCTTACCTCTGCAATTTCTGATGCTGCAAATTTAGAAGAAAACTGCATTTCTTGTCCATCGCTCACAGAGCTCAAAACTGTCTCTGAGTTACTCTGAGTAAATGACTGGGTCTCTAATTCTGGTAGAACTAAGAGCGAAGATTTTATATCTGGGACCATGTCTGCAAACCAGTCCAGCTCTGTGTCATGCAATTCTTTCCTCTTCACCTGGATCACAAACTCTTCTCCTAAACCACTTTTCAACTTCGGAGATTTCTCTAGAAATGACGTTTTGGTCAAATAAGACTTTTGATCCTGGTCTCTTGGGTCACAGCCATCATTGTTGCTGATAGACTCTGGCAAAGGATTATTTTGGAGAGTTCCGAGTTCTTTTTTGGGCGCAAATGTATTTGGAGGCAGCTGCAGCTCTGCGATGTCATTTATCCCTCTATCATAGTGGGTGTTTCCTGAAGAGAGCTTAAAAGGAGATTTCTCTTCTCCATCATGATTGGCAAGACATGGATGGCTGTTAACACAAAAGTCTTTCAGTTTGGTGTCAGCAATTCTATTTCTTTCTGGCTTGAGCTCTTCGCACTCATTCCAGTCTGGCCATTCCTCTGTCTTCTCAGTCACATGGTGGCAGTTGTTGCCATTATTTATGTTACTTATTCCACTAGGAATATTATATAAGTTCAGAGTGTCTTGCGTCCCTAGAGAACATACATAAGCTTCGATCAGTGATTTAGTGAAACTAAATGAAGTCATATACACACACACACTTTTGTACTTAAACATACAGGCATATTACTTCCATTTACAGACTTCACTATAATACAAGGTAAGATTTTTTTTTCTAAAGCTGAGTAACAGCTGCCTAGCCTAGAATTCTCTCAATTGCTATATTTCACTTTACATTCAAAAGAAACAGAGTATCTTATCATAGCTTTCCCAATATATTACCCAAATGGTATAGATCTGGATTTTGTCTTAGATTTATTATTAATATTTATTTATTAATAAAATTTATAGGCCGCCCAATCCCAAAGGACTCCGTGCGGCTTACAAAAAGAAGGAAGAAGGGATAATGAAAAGAAAAAAAAAACAAATTTAAAGTTACCACACATGCATTCATTCTGATCGGGGCTGGACCTCAACAATGAGGTCAACAGCCCCAGGCCTGCTGGAATAGCCAGGTTTTAACAGCTTTCCTGAAGGCCATGAGAGTGGGTAAGATCCGGATCTCTGGGGGGTAGCTCATTCCAAAGGGTTGGAGCAGCCACAGAGAAGGCTCTCCTATGGGGAGCCGCCAGCCAACACTGTCTGGCTGACGGCATCTG